ACTACCAGCGAGTGATGATGTCAACACCAATGCCGACCTCCACCTCCACCAGGTACGTGTCCTCTTCACCCACACTCTCCCTTGTTACCCACACAGCGCCCTTCACCTCCGAAGAACCACCTTCGCCCTCACCTCCCCTACGCCCTATGCAGCCCGGCTATGGCCGCCAAGCGCCCAGTACACAGGCAGCGCCCTACCGCCTAGCGCTAGCCTGCCTCATCCCAGCGCAGCACCTCGCATTAGCGCAGCGTGCCCGCAATGCCTGCATTGGCCAAGATCCTTGCCCAGTCGCCCTGCTTGCCTATATGCCAGTGCTGCGTGTGGGCAGCCTCCCTTGAGCCTGCGACCGGGCCCCAGTGGCTGAACCCAGCCCGGGGCAATGCAATTGCGCCTCTTTCATCAAGGCCTGCGGCCAGATTCAAGTAGTGGGTCGATTTCCCTTTGGCATTTTCGGCCTCTATACCCAGCATGCATTGTCGGCCTCACGTTCAAGTGCCCAGGGCCTAACTAACTCAGGCCCTGGGATCTCCACATTTGCAGAGATTCGAGACTCGGTGCAGTCCAACCAACTGGCGTGCTGCAGCTGTATGGACCCCACTTCGGGAAATGTTTGCACAGAGGGCTCTTGTTGATTTGCTGGCCCGCCTTCACTTAGGGCGGGCACTAGGCTTGTTGGGGCCTTAGCCCAGAACATGTACATCATGGCAAGGCCCCTTCTCGAGGGCTCAATCCTCACACAGTTCTCAAAATTCCGGAATTGGCAAACTTGACGAGTGCATGGCATATTAAAATTTTATAATTATTATTTGCATGATCTTTGTTGTTCCGAATCATAATAAAAGATTCCTAAGACCAGGGACCGGAGAAGACCGCAATTGAAGGGTCTCGCTCGAAGCCCGACGCACAGAACAGGAAGGGATTTGCTTTACTTAATTTATTTATTTATTGTGAAAATCTTCAAAATCCTGCATGACAAAATGTTGGTTTTCCGGTCGCCAGAGGTGGCCTGACTGGAAAAAGTGTGACATCGGTCCCAATATGAAATCAACTGTGCGTACAGGTACGTGTCCATCATCGCCTCCCAATGAAAAATGTTTTCCTCCTCCTTCCCAGTGTATGTGCACGGGAGTTTTACCTTCATCTTCTCCCTTCGCTCTCTCCTCCCTCAGACTTATCTCCTTCCTTCCTTCCATCATCCTTTCTGGGACCTTTTCTTTCCTTGTCGCCATCCCCATCATCACCATTATCTCCACCCCTGCCACTGCCACCTATCTTAACTGCAGTGATGGTGTTCGTCAGTTTCTGAGCAAAGATATCGTCTAATTGGCGTGCATATTGTAGGACGCTATGGTCCACTTGACTGGATGAGGCACTAAGGTAATTATTCCAGATGCCCTTAAACTTCTCCTCGTGTTGTTCTACCTTTCCAAGCGCAGAGAGTTCTTGGGTGGTATGTAGCAAAGTGTCTGCTAGAAGGCTCTAACGTTCCTCGATTTCTACTTGCTTCTTTCTCTGCTCCTTCAGCAACGCCTGAAGTCTCCCCCCTTCCTCCTTCAATCTTTTCTTCTCCTCAAATTGTTTTCTTCTTGCGGCCAACAACTTTTGATTGAGTTCACCCTTCTTCTCCTCGATCAACAACTTCCTTTCCTCTTGATGCTTTGTTGCTGCCAACTTCGCCACAAATTGATCTCTCTCTTCGTCAGTAAGCTATGTCCGGTACCCAAATTTCTCCACCCAGTCCAAGTCCTCAACCTGCTTGAGGTGCAACTCCACAATATGGCTGCTCTCCGCCACCTCCTCTCCTACTGGTTGGGCTCCTCTCCTCACCAACCTTCCTCCTTCTTCTTCCTCTTTTTCTTCAACTTCTAGCTTCAACTTCTAGCTCCTTCAACAATTCTTCTTCTCTCTTCGTAATCCCCTTCTCCATTTTTTCTTTCTACTCCTCCACTTTCTTCTTAACTTCCTCCTCCTCCTTTCTCTTTTTTTCCTTTTTCTTTCTTCTTCTCAGCCATCTTCCAATCAATTTCTTCTTGCTGATCTGCTGTATATGGCTCGGTTGTCCCACTAGATCTCATGGTTACACTCATGTTACATGACTGTTGGAATCCTAGAGGAAACAAGAAACGGAGGAGTGGACCCCATAGCACGGACAGGGTCAACATAGCGAACATTGGGAAGCCATCTATGGTTACTAAAAGCATAGGTATGTTTCCTCCACCTCCTCACCACGTAGACCTCACCCTCAACACTTAAACTACCTAATCTAGACTGGAGTCTAGCCTAGGTTCTTCCCCCCCCACAATGTCACTACAGCTACCCTGTCAGGCTGGTGGGCAACTAGCAGCTTAAGGTTGGCCAGCAAGGACCTCAGGAATTATTTAACGACGTAGACATGACATCGTGCCCACCAGGATCTGAAGGTTCGCTCTCAAGACTTATAGCTCCTCATTGCGTCAGCTCCAGTTCGGTCGCATGCCAATCACTACGAGTTGTTTTACGAGCGCTCGCCGCTCATGCCCATGCTCCCTACTTTACAGGAGATACATCCAGCTGCCGAGCTTCTAGCCTAGACACGACCTACTTCATACACATATGCTTGACCATATGCTAACCCATGGCAAAATCAGATTGTCACCAAATGTTATGTCCAGCAGCAGCGACACCAAGATGTGGGAAGGTACCAATACACTCATTCATTCAACAAAGCAAATACAGGGCTTAGGGGCAATGCACTTCACTTGTGAACGTTCCTTCGATGAAGCTCCTCGACACTCCTCGCGTGCAGTTAAGTAATCACCATCCCCAAATACTGGCCACTTCTTCTTCGGCCTACAACCCCTATGTCAAACTCCCAATCTCCACTCGCCAGCCTTAAACCACCAGTTCACCCAAGCCTGTTTCCAAGACTCTGGAATATCGTTTTTCCAAGCCTAGCCCATTCCGGCACTGGCCTAAGTCAGTCGAGAAGTATTGGACCACAGGTCCAAGAAATAGGCCGTTGTGACTTGGATTGGGGAACCCGGTAGGATTTTTTTTTTTCAAACTTCCTTTTTTTAGTGTTTCCACATTCTCAACGTGCAGCCCAAGGCCCCATTCTGAAGCGTTGTGTTCCCTACAACAATGTACGCTTTTTTCAAAAATATGGACAAAAAAAAGAAAGAAAAAAGTAACTACGACCAGGACGTTTCTATATGGTGGCAGCGGCAATGCTCGGCTATGGCAGATCCGAGGGCGCCGGGATGCATGAACCGGGGGAAAAGCCAGTCCCGGCCGCCCACGCACATGGCATAGCACGCGAGCACACACGTCGACATGTGTGTGTTTGTGTGTGTTGTCATACGCCGTCGCAG